GAGGAGTGAAAGGGCGGGGCGCCTGCGCGAAGAACACAAAAAAGGAGGGAAAGTGAGGAGGCGGGGCAAAGGGCTTAAAACCAGAGTGGGAAAATGAGGGAAAGGGGCTGAGCGGTGTTTCGCGAAGTGCCTCAGCTCGGAAAGAAGGATCCAGTAAACAAAGAAACCTCAACACGCACTAGGTTCCAGGCGTTCGGCCCGAAGAATTCCACGCAGGCCCTGCACCCCCATGCACACGGTTGAGAAAGAGCAAGTTGGAAACACAGGAGGGGGTCCCACAAAAAGTTAAATAAAGAATCTGAAGAGTAGGGGCGCCAACGGGGGAGTTCGAATTAACCCGCCACTTACAATCTGCCAGAAAACTGTGAGAGGGATGGCTGACGGGCTCTAGTCACTGGCACGGAGCGAGCAGGTGCAAAGCACCCTGGGTGATTCCGTTACCCAATGGGCTTCGTCTGACCTAAGCCTCTCGCGGGAAAATTCCCTCCGGAAATCTCGCGGAATTACACGATCAGAGGGTTTCTGTGTTGAGCGGGACAGTTTAGTCTGCGCAAGGCGCGCGGCCCTAGAACAATCGCCTGTCCAATACGTGTTCAGAATTCCTTCGCTGCGCCGGTTTAAAAACGTCGTAAGGCAGCGCGCGGCGTTCGCCGACATTAGCGACTGCTGGCTGAAGACGCCAGGAGCTTCGTGGGCACACAACTACCCTCTGACAGGTACTATTATTTTCCCTTTTTGATAGACGAGAAAACTAATGTAGTAAGAAGTTAAGAAAATAACTTGAGAGCTTGTTTGGAGGTTCTGGCAGGGGAGCGCAGCTACTCCTTTATCCTTGGCTGAAGTCCGGCCCCCTCCTCTGGGGGGGAAGGTCGTCCTCTTCGCCCCAGCGCGCAGCTTCGGAGGGGACGCCCATAGATCGGTGAGGGAGGAGGAGGGGGACACCGGCCTAGCCAGTTGGAGGCGTGCGGGAGGCAGCCGATCAATGACTCTCGCTCGTCATTGATGTTTCTCTCTCCCTTCCTCTCTCTGAAATCAATAAAGATATATTTAATGAAAATTTTAAAAAAAAGAAAAAATAACTTGATAAGTGGCAGAACTGGGAGTCAAATTCTGGTCTGAATTCAGAGCCCAGGCACTTAACCACTATGCTATACTGTTCTCAGTTTTAATACCCTTGTTGCCTTCAGAAATTTATTAAAAATAGAGATAATATAAGAAACGTGCATGCATTCCAAAATATGGATTCCCTTCCATTTACATCTCAGCAAAGCACTCCCAGTCAGCCAAAGGAGGTTGTAGCTTAGAGTCCTTATTTGGAAGGACTGTACTCTCTCCAGTGACATGAATTGTACGTCCAGCTGTGGCCTGGGTTGTCACTCATATCCAGGTCTCTGAACTTTTTAGAATTATAACCCTCTCTGGGCAAAACATTACCAGCTTTTCTACAAAATTGCACTTTTGCCTCATCGGCCCCTGCCACCACCAGTTGATCCCACTGACCACCTAAATAAACTTTGTTAAAAAGGAGCTTTGTTTTCAAATTACTTATTTTAAAAGTTCCAGAATAGATAAAATTTAAAATAGCATTTGTAGAAACAGCA